TGCTGCTGCTGCTTTCACGTCTGCGCCATGCGCCCAGCATGGCCTGGCCTGCGACAGGGCAGTGGGAGGGCACTCCTTGCTAACTGGGGTGGGCCAGGAGTGGGGCACAGGAGGGCGATGAAGGTAAGTGGACTTTGCTCTGGTTTCACCCTCATTCTGCAGGCGGGCAGTGCCCTGTGGCAGAGCTTCCATGCTCCGGCTGGGATATTGGCCGGTGCCGTCAAAACCCAGCGAGAGAACTCCAGGGAGAGTCCCACCTCCAGACAGGGAGGAGGGGGTGATCAGGTGTTGGGTGCCCTGCAGCTGCCTGGGCTGGCCTGCTGCATGGGCACCGAGCGGGCTCCAGGCTGCCAGCCTGGCACCTTCCGCCGGAGCCACATGGGAAACAAGCAACCCGACGTCCTGGGGAAATAGTTCAGTTGAACTGTAGCAAACCCAGTGCTCTGTGTGTGTAAATAGACGTGCAGCACCACCCCCTACATGTGTTTGTGTCTTCATTTATACACTTGCAATAACTAGGAATATTCCAGATCCGTAACACCAGGGGCAGGGGCTTTTACTCTGGTCTACCTGGACAAAATCTGCATCTGAGGTTCCAAGTTGCTAGCAAACAACGGGACTGGTTCAGCCCCTTATTTCTGAGCGGGTCGGCTCCCTCCCCTGCCCTGGTCTCTTCCCTTGCGCCGGGGTTAGAACCCTTCTCCCAGAGCACAGCCTCTGCTGGGGCCAGCTCTCCCTCCAGGCTCTATATATAGATGTTTGACACCTCCACGTGCAGTGATCTGAGATGGGCTCGCTCCATTCCTGGAAAGGATGGGGGACCACTCTCTACTCTTAGTCTGAGCGCTGGCACATGGGCCAATGCAGCAAAAGTTGCTATATGCTGCAGTCGTTTGTTTCACATTGCCACCCCACTCGTTTTTTGTTGGTGAGGCAGAAGAACCAGAGTGAGTGGTTTAAAAAATATGCCAACAAATTTGTATTGAAGTTGAAACAAATATAAAGCTGTAGGTAATGACTAAGGGCCTGTTATGTCAGAGCTAACAGTGCCCCAGACAGGAATGCCTGGGGCTATTCATTGTAGCTGGGAGACTTCATGCTACACAATCAATAGATCTGCTTAGTGATTTAGTATATAATAATCCTGTACTTTAATGAATAATCTGATACTTCAGGTGCCTTCTCTCTGGCAGGGTCACGAGGCACTTTACAAACTAGAGGCAGTGCTCAGCCCTGCACAGTGTGTGTGTGTACACACACACTTCCCTGTTCGTGTCCCACAGTTTTGCTAACCTGACTCCAGGGCGAGTCTCATGCTATTTGGGGTTTGTCTTGAAGCCCGGCTCTGGGAGTCCTGTCACTGTATGAGAATCTCAGCTTTCGTTTAACAAGCGAGAGCTTCTAGCCCTCATGGTTGCAAAGAAAAGCTTGAAAATGTGACCCAAGTGCAACCTAAAGGCTTAGACACTTGAAGGCATAGAAACCAAAACCCAATCCTAATCTCACAACTTTTAAGCCAATCTCATGATTTTGGGGGCCCAATTTGTGATTTTTGACTGCCTGGGCGTGGCATGGCTGGCCGACGTTGCCAGCGTGTCAGTTCATGGCAGTTTCCCTGCCTGCCGAGCTGAGCAATGGACTGTTGCCGGCATAAGGGCAAGGAAGGAGGTGCTGAGCACAGCTGGGAGTTTGATCCTGCACGAGTGCTGCTGTCTGCCGAGTCCTGCCTGGCAGGAGGGAACGGAGCTGAGCACCTCGTTAGCCTGAGGAGGAGACTGCTCTTCAGACACGGGTGCTCCCTGTCCTCTTTATTACCTGAGCTCCTGTGAGCAAAGGACTGACCACGCAAGTGGTTTGACCTCTCCCCTGCTCAGTGAAGGTGGCCTCTGCTCACATGGCCTTAACCTGTTCCCTTTTCAACACAGCATGGTTCAGGAGGCGGCTTTGATTTCTGTGTAGTAGGGAACACATGGACTCACCCTCCCACATCCTGGGGACCAGTACCCCTGTGCTCCCTACTGCACACGGATCAACGCCACCACGCGAACTATGCTGTGTGGGAAAGGGGAACAGGTTAATGTTGTCCTCAGAGCAAAGGCCACGTGCTTGCATCTCACAGGCTGGTTTTCATGTCACAGCTGGGACATGGTGTCTGTAGGGATTCCTATGCCCTGGCTTCTCCCAGCATATGCATTCCATGGATGATGTACGAACTCTCCCCAGCTTCAACCGACTAAAGCCCTTTCCCGTGCTGCTGTAGGCTAGAGCCCCTGTCACTTCAGAGGCCCAGGAGGGGAGGAGCCAGGGGATACACAAGTGCTACACTGCCGGGGGGCTGCCCAGCAAGCCTCACTCATCCACCGGGTGCCTGGGATTCACCAAGCTGGGCCCGCATGTTAGGGAATGTGCTCCGTGGGAGTGTTCCCTCCACTCCCCGGCTGGTGAGCCAACGTGCAGGGCATTACTTGTGGGTCCTGCAGCATCAGTTCCCTCCCTGTCCGTACTCATTTACCCCTGGGCGTTAGATTAGATCCCATTCCCCCATCCCACCCATCAGTGAATTCAGTGCTGGTGAAAAACCGAGGGGCTGGCAGGGTGGGCTAGTCCCAGGTATGGTGGGGGTGGGTGCTGGGTGAATGTCCCTATGCTGCTCCCTACCGAGGGAGTGAATGTCCCAGTGGAGCAGCCAGGCCCTGGAGAGCCCATCAGCCTGTTTGAGGTTGAGGTGCAGAGTCAGTCCGGGACACGCCCATGGCATGAATCATGGAGTAGCTGGGAACACCTGGTAGCCATTCGGGTCGGATGCTCGCCCTCTCCTGAGCCCTCACTGCCTGCCCCCTCTGCACCGACTGGGAAGAAGAGCAGTGAGTGTCATGCTGTCTGGGATGGGGGAAGTGAGCGCGCACCCTTTGCTGCAGCCAAAGCTGTTCTCAGAGGCCACACGGAGCTGTGATTTACCTCTGTCTGGGCTGAGCCTGGTCTTGGCACCGCCTGGCATCTGCTGCACGCGGCGAGCCAGAGCGGGCTGTGCTCTGCAGGAGAGAAAGGCCAGAGGTGGGCAAGCTCCATCCATGTGGCTGGAGGAGAATTCTGCCCCCAGAGCCTAGGAGAGGGACTCGTTGCTGCATGGCCTGTCAGTGGGGCAGCCCCGGACAGGTGTGGCTGATGCTCCCCGGGGTGGGTGATGAACGGAGTTCAGATGTGGGCTTGGGCCACAGGAAACGTGACGCAGGTGGCATGCACCTAACTGACCCGTTAGAGCAGGAGCCCTGCACAGGCGAGGCCCAGGGCTGTAATAGCCAGGGGGCTGCTAGCCAGCACTGGGGCATGGACAGAGCAGCGTGTGGCGAGCTTGCATGCTGATGGCAGCGTCGTTTCTCTGGCCTGGCTGCGTTTTCCCCAATGCTCTGCAGAACAAGGCTCAGAGTCCCTGGCTGGGTGGGAGCTGAGTTCCCACGTGTGTTTCAGTCTCCACTAGGCTGTGAAAGATTTTCCTGGCATGTCTTCATGCCAGTGGGTGGCGATCGCAGCGCTCATGTTCCTCTCCAGCCCTTAGCAAAGGGAACTGCATTCACCCCAGAACTTTCTTCCAGGAAAGCTGCCCCTGCCTCTGCTAGGGTGACCAGATGTCCTGATTTTATAGGGACAGTCCCAATATTTGAAGCTGTTTCTTATATAGAAGCCTATTACCCCCCACTCCCATCCCGATTTTTCACACTTGCTGTCTGGTCACCCTAGCCTCTGCCCACCCAGTAAGAGCCCATACCACGGCTCTGCGCTGGAGATGCTGCATTGCCTTGGCTGGCCACTAGGGTCCTGTGTCTGGTGGTTTATTAGCTCCTGGGATAGCAGTGCTCAGGTTGTTAGCAGCTGGGTGTGGAGATGTTAAGGAGGGTGGGTGGTGGTTTGCAGCCTAGGGCCTGGATGTCTCAGCCTCATAATGGGGAAGGGGAACTGCTGGCTCAGCAAAGAGCCCATTTCTGTCTCCTTTTGTGGGGAAAACAAGGGAAACCCTGTCAGAGCCCAGGGCAGCGTTTGCCCTACCAGGGGTCTTCTCCTCACCCCACTGCCAAGCAGCTGTTATTCCAGAGCTCCGGCGTTCCCCTGGAAAGCGTGATGGGCAGTCAGCCCCTTGCCCATCTCCTGCCTCCAACTCAACACACCTGCACAAGGTCTAGCAGGAAGTAACTCTCTGCTGTAGGGAAGCCAGGCAGGGCTTGGGGAGCTGTGAGATAACACCCAAGGTAATGGAGTCCGCACAACGTAAGGCATGGTGGGCAGGCCTGCTGGGGGTTAAACTGAGCCAGACCACAGGCTGCATCGCTCAGGTATGTGCTTAGCTAACGTGTTAGTCACCAGAGCATGCCGGGAGTCTCTGTAGGAGAAATAAACCCTGCAGATTACTTAGGCCAGAAGGTGAAGAGAGACTAACAGTTTGCAGTAATACAGCCCTTCCTGCCCTCATCACAGGCACTAACTGGCTCAGGAGGAAACCCACTCTGCTCTTTGATAAGGTGGCAATTTTAAACAGGATCAGGCACCAGAACCACCTCCCAGAGTGCGGAGCAGGAGAGACGCTGAGAGCATGTTCCTTTGCTTCCGAGGAAATTTTGATGCCCTCCCATGTCCTTTGATGGAATCCACCAACCATAAAATTTACTGCTTTTTTTTTTTAATAGCAGCAACCCTCCAGCCGGCCATATTGGAGGTTGGGAAATAAAACAGCTCTAAAATTATGTGTGTCTTGGAAATCACCCAGTGCACTTGAAAAAAACAAAGCCAACCAACAGCA